GTTTTTTTTCGAGGTATCTGGAATATGCGCTTAAATGACACAAAATTGATTTATCCCGTAAACATGTGACATAGGAATTTAATGTGGATGCTTTATAATTGAAACGTAACTTTTGTTACTAGGTATCTGATTCTGTAAGTGGACAGACCGTGGTCGACCCGAAAGGTTATCTCACAGATCTACAGAGTATGATCCCACAGATTGGTGGAGATATTGCTGATATCAAAAAAGCCAGACTTTTATTGAAATCTGTCAGAGAAACGAATCCAAACCATCCTCCAGGTGAGACATCAAACTCTTTATTATGTTACGGTTGAGGGCAGTAGATATGACTACCATTAGATTGTGTGGAAACAAAACAATGAATGTATTTTAACCACATTCTATAAATAGTGTTTTAGTTCAATTCCACTCTTTTTTTTTAAATTCAATTTTCGAGGTCTCTCAAAAACAGATTTTTATTTATTTATTTGTAAAATAGTTTCCATAGATTATAAAAAACAAAAATTAGTCTCATGAAATTTGTCTGCAGTTAGATATCAAAATATTACCACACATCACTATGGAGGTTGCCTGTCACTATTTAATCACCTTTGTGTAACACTGAACCCAGTGTATGATGATATTGTATTTCTAATATTTTTGTATATTTTACCAGCTTGGGTTGCATCTGCTAGATTGGAAGAAGTGACTGGTAAGTTGCAAGCCGCTCGGAATATCATAATGGACGCTTGTGAAAAATGTCCTAAAAGTGAGGATTTATGGCTAGAAGCAGCAAGACTACAGGTATGTCAATTATTATTATACCATGTTTTTAGTACCTGTTCGGACACTGTCCAAAAAACAGGGACTAATGAATTGACCTCTGTGCGCGTGGATGTGTGTGTACGTCTGGACCTGTATCTTGAACATGCCTGGACTGATTACATTCAAACTTCACACATACATCGTGCATAATATTATACATATGCATATCAATTTGTTTCACAACCTGATTAATGATGGCCAAATGGTGGAACTGAATCTTGGGTGTTTACAGATGGATTTTGGTGAATTTTACTGTTCTTTTACACAGTGCTTTTTATGAAGTTTCATTCTCAGCAATTAGAAACATTAATAGTAGTGACTTGGTTTCCAGTAAGGTCATAGAAGATTTAGTCTCCTTAGGAAACAAAATGCCAACATCATCATCAGTACCATTCATTGCACATTTTCATCACACACACTAACTACCACATAGATAACATAGATTTGTTTTTATAATCAGCCTGGTGATGCAGCTAAAGCTGTCATAGCACAAGCAGCAAGACAGTTACCTCAGTCTGTCAGGATATGGATTAGAGCATCTGATTTAGAGTCTGAAACTAAAGCAAAGAAAAGAGTACTCAGAAAAGGTATATTTTACAACATTTAT